ATTTTTTAAGCTTTGTTGCATAGCAGATCCATGATGAACAATTTGAACCTAGACAGAAGCACCCATCTTGAGAAGCTCATGATAAAGACATGGCAAGGGAGGACACCTGACTGAAACCACATGAAGGTATTGATAATAAACAGCACTGCAAGACAGGAGATGCAGAGAGGTGTCTGGGGTTTGTTTTTTGGTTGGTTTGGTTTTCTTTTTTCCTCCTGTCCTTTACAAGGTTTTAATCTCATATAGGTCAGCATGCTTTGGCCTAACTACAGTTCAAAGAAGTTTTAGGAGGACCTGCCCATGGTAATTAATGAAGAGCATATACACTGCTCTAAGACAACAACTGCAATATGAAGCCAACATTGCATTTTTCCAGCCAGCTCCAGGCTCAAGATGGTGAGAGTCAAGCGACACAAAAAGATACAGCTAAGTCCACCTAAGTAAGCAGAGAACAGCAAAAGGCCCTAAAGAAACACAGTTGCTAACATCAAAAAGTAACAACAGGTAAACAAGAATTCCAGTTGTGACAACAAAGAACAAGTGCAAATCCCAGAAGATACTACACCAGGAAAAGTGAAAGTACTTCACACCAATGCGGAATAAGCCTGAAACGGAAAGAAGAAATACACTGGAAAGAAGTATTCCAGACTGAAACACCTCAATGAGTAAAAAAGCAGTAGAATAACAGGAAAGAATGTGCACATCTGGGAGAAAGTCCATTATGGTTGTATTAAGTTAACACCGCTCTTAACAGTTCAAGTCAAATAATCTGGTAATAAAAGGATTTAAATTAACAAAAGGGGGGGGAAGAGTGAAAGTATAAGCACAGACAGCAGTAGAGGAAAAGAACTAATAATCTGAGAGTAGAAGGCAGTGAAAAACAAGAGGACAGTATTACAGAAGTCCAGGAAGAATAAGACATCAAGTGGCTGAGAATTACAGATAGCATTGAAAGCAGTACAAATCAAGGAGTGTAAGAAAGGTACGGAATCTCTGTAACTTGGCCAGAAGGAGCCTGTACGGATCTTAATGAAGGCAATTTCAGCAGCACATGGAACCTGGACTGGAACAGTACAATAAAAGAGGAAAGAATGTGTGACCACAGATGAAAATTCTTCTGTTTGGAAGTTTGGAAAAGAAGGGAAGCAGACTATAGTTCACTGTCAGCTGTAAGGATGGAGGATAGTAACTCAGAATAAAATTATGAAGGGAGCAAGATGGCAGCCAAGAGGTAAAACCCAGAAATTTGGAATTAAAACAGAAAAATTGAATGAATGGGGCTTTGGGGTCAGACTAAACTGCTAAAGGAAACAAAAGCAGAGAGCAAACATGAGGATCCATCACTGTAAGTAGCAGGCAAGAGTGCTGAGCAAAGGTAAACATGCCGATTCTAATCAGTTTTTCTCTGGAAACCTTTAGATTCTGCAGGGGAATAAGAAATATAGGAAAAAGCTTAAGGGAGATTTCTAGGCAGCCTACAAAGCAAAGGAACCGGGAAATGCATGCAGGGAGAAAGGAGGAAAAAAAAAAAATCATCAAAACGATAATTGAGTATGAAATACAAGTTAGGAAGAAGACGTCAAAGAAATCTGCTATGTTCAACAACCAGTCATAGTTACTGCACTATTATAAATGAGATGAGGAGGTGACAGTCATGAGAAAGGGATTTGGAGATGCAGCAATCAGATAAGATGCCTGGCAAAATCAAAACAGAAGTAATAATTTCTCTCAGAAACAGAAATGGGTATTAGCAGATGAAGCTCAAATAGGCTAGAGAGCCAAAGAATAAACTTAATGAGAAATCAACATAAAAAAGAGTCATAAGGAATGAGGGTGAGGAGTCCATGATAAGAGGACAGCCTGTATGGCAAAGACTAAAATGAAGGTATGCAGGAAGAAGCAAGAAGTGAGGCAGCATTAAGGCACATCTGATGGAGCCCTGCTCAAGGAAAGCTTAAGAGGAAACAACAGAGGGGAAGGTATAAAGACAATGGTAGATGAAGAACACAACATTTATTCTTAACGATAAAAGAAAGGGTAAGACAGACATTAGGCTCTAACATAATGCTGTATGCTTGGTAGCAACGTTTCTGCAATCAATATACCTGACAAAACTGTTCCTGATAAAATATTCAGCAACTAGCCTTTGATTTGAATTTCCTGAGAAGACACGCAATTGCTTATGGCTAGGGGATTAAACAAACAGCCATTCTTTATACTCCAATTACATATACGGGATACAAAGCTCACGGTACCATATCTTGCCACACACAAGGAAAACAAATGAAAAAGGTTCAGTATCATACTATTAACATCCACACCCTTACAGGGGAACACAAAATTTCACTAAACAACAAAATCATGAAGAAGAAACCTATGAACAAGCCAGATATTTAAAGCATCCAATCCCCTATTTCTTCTGCTTTTGATCTAATATTACCCACAGATGTGCCTGAATTTTCATTTAAGAAAAACAATGTAACAGTGAACAGCTATTTAAATTCATAAAGGAGAGCTAGAAAGGACCTGCTAAACAGTTATGAAAAGCAACGTGGATAGGAATCACAGAAACTAAGGTTGGAAAAGATTTCAAAACATCAACTTCACTCTCAGTGCTCCAAGTCTGTCTCAGCCTTCCTTAAGCCACTCCTGACAGACACCTAACATTTATATATATATTATATATATATTTGGCAAGCCTCAAGCAATACAGGCTCCACAATCTCCCCAACAGTGTACTGCAGTGACCGAACAATTTTTAAATCTTCCCCTAACATCTGGTATATATGTCCTTCTCTAAAATTCAGACCATTTCTTCATGCACCATAAAGCTGATTGCTTTCCTCTTTGCAGCAGATTTGCTGTAAAGGATGTTCTCTATTGCAACTGGACAGCTCTGCAGTGTTTTGCATTGGAAGGACAGAGCGCTTATATAAAGAATAAAAAAAATAAAAAATAAAAAATGGTCTGCCTGAACGGATGAGCCACAAAAACTCATCTCTGTGATGAGTCATCTGGGACAGCAGAGACAGACTTTCCCACATAAGCAGTCTGCTGGAAACTGGATACAGCCACCGCAAGTGACACAGCCAGAAGAAACTAACATTTACAAGCAAGCAAAGCATAGCCACAGCGTTAGTCACGATCGTTCATCCTACACCCTTCAGAAAGGAGCCAAAACAGAATAGCCGTGGTCATGTCGTTCAAAGGGAAAGTTAAAATAGAAAGCAGAGTCGCAAACTGGAGCGCTGGGTGGAGCTCCCAATTGTGCCTTGCTTGGCAGCACCGCTCTGGGGGAAAAAAGAGGAGTCAGTAAGGGCAAAACAGTGCAGTGGGGGAGGGGGAAGACAGAAAACCCGAGCTCGGAAATGAGAGATGTGCACGGGGCAGGTCACACACAGGGAAAAGGTTGCAGGGAGGTACCCGAGCCCTTGGGGAAGGCGGTTGGGATAAGAACTGTCTCCGATTCTAGAGGCAACGTACTGGGGAGGCCCTGGATGTGCCAAGTTTCCTCCCATGAGATGGCCCCTCTCTCTAGGGGCCCCAAAGGAAAAGCTGCAAGGAACGGGGGGGGGGGGGGGGGGAGATATATAGGGGGTGCATAGAGGCCTTTGCTCCCCACTCCCTGCAGTAGTGACAGGGTAGTAAGGCAGTATGGGGATAGCAGGGGAGAACCAGAGGTTTGCAGCTGCTGCAGCTATGGCAGGGGACTGGAGCAGGGTAGGTCAAAGATTGCAAAGCCATAGCAGGGCTGAGGGAAGAAGGGGCAAAATGATGCAGATCCACAGGGGAAGCAGAGCACAGAGCAGTGTGCAGAGCAACGCAGAGGGTGGAAGAGCGTAGCATGGTGGGAGCAAGGCTATATGAGCTGAACCTGGGGGTGCATAGCCATAAGAGGGAAGAGCAGAGCTTTAGAGGGGAGCAAAATGCTGCAGAGTTGCATGCACCAAGGCTTGGGGATGCGGTGTAAAGGGGCTCACAGCCAACCATGAGAAGCCAGACTACAGGAGAAGAGAGAGCAACGGGTCCACAGCCACGGGAGAGCAGAGCTGTCGGCGGGGCGTTAAGGGGGGGAGGGGGGAAGGGAAAGCAAAGGGTTCAGAGTATGGTTACAGGGGATGCATACGAGCGCGCAGCCATAGGAGAGCGGTGCTACAGGTGTAGCAAGGGGATGCACAGCTATAGGAGAGATACGGTAGGGGCTACGGTAGTGGGAGAGAGCAAACTGGTGCACAGCCATGGGAGAGAGGGGCTACGAGGGGTAAAGGGTCTGCACGACCACCAGAGAGCACCGCTACAGAGGCAGGAGCGGGTGCACAGCAATGGGACAGCATGAGCGGCAGATCTGGGGACGGGGGACGAGTGGATAGCCGCGGGGGACAGCAGGCCTGCGGGTGTAACAGGGCCCGGCAGCGGGGAACAGCAGAGCCAGGAGACAGAAGAGGAAGGGAAGGGAGAGGGGCAGCTAGGTCCGGCGGCGGGCGCGGGCCGCTCACCTGCGCGGCGGAGCTGCAGCAGCCCATGGCGTCCGCGGGTCTCTGCCCTGGCGGTGGCCACTAGGCGCCAGGCAGCGGCGGCGGCAGACAGGCGCTGGGCATCCACTCCAAGCGACGGCCCGCCCCGGGGCGGGGGCGGCGGCGCAGCCGGCCGAGGGAAGCAGCCGGCCGAGGGAAGCAGCCGGCCGAGGGGAACGGCCGGGAACGCTCAGGCGAGGAAAGCGGCTGCGGCACCAGCCCCGCCGCGGCGCCCTCTCATCCTCCCCCCGCGGCGGCGGCGGCGGCGGCGGCGGCGGCGACTGAGGGGAAGGGGCGGAGCCTGGGGGAGCGGGGGCGGGGCCAGGGTACTGCAGCGCGGGGGGTACCTGCCTGGGCGGGCGGGCGGGCTGCCGCCCCCGCCACATCGCCCCGCCCCGGCCCGCGCGCCTTGGGGCGCTTCCGGGGGCCGGAAGCACTTTTTGCCTGGTCGTCAGGGGCGTCGCGTCGCATCCCAGCCCAGCTGAGGGGTCCTGGCTCCCGCCGTTCCAGAGCCAGAAGCTCCCAGGCGCTCGTCCTAGTTGTTCCTATGGACCCCCCGCAGGAGGAGCACCGCCCAGTGTGCGGGACAGCTGTGTGGGGAAGCCGTCCTCCCGTCAGGGGGCTTCCAAGCGGGTGATGCTTTCTGCGAGGGAGAAGAGCGCCGCTTGTGTGGCCCTTTTGACGTACCTGTACTTGCAGGTACAAAAGGTGCCTCTGCTTACTGGTGGGAGATGCTTGAGAAAGCCATGGTCCAGCAGGCCTGTGTCTTATGGGTGTTCAGGCATTGGAGCAGACTTCCCAGGGAGGTGGTGGAATCTCGGTCCCTCAGACGTTCAAAATTCATATAGGTGAGGCCCTTAGGGACATAGTTCAGTGGTGGTCTTGGCAGTCCTGTGATTTGATGTTCTTAAAGGTCAAATCCTAGTTGGATTTGATAGTGTTAAAGGTCTTTTCCAACCTAGTTGATTCCATGATTCTATTATACTGCCTTTATTGTGGTTTATCCTATTTTCTAGTCTTAACTCTTACCATTGATGCAATGTGCAGAGTATCCAGTCATCTGAAGTGGTATTCTGGTGAAATGGACAATGAAATTAAATCTGTCCCTTGAATTGAATGTCCCTGATTGCCATATTTTTGCATCTGGTTTCAGCAAGCTTTTAGAGACAAAAATGCAGGTGTCATTCTTTTGAGGTGTATGCCTCAGTAACTGCTAAAACCTGGTTTCATGAACTACAACAGGATGAGGCTTGCTGCATAGTTAACTGGTACAAGTCAGTCTCAGAACTGTGGGCTGGACCATGTTCCTAAGCCATGCAGGTAGCAACAGATGCCTCAGAGCTTTCTGAACCACTTAGGTCACTGCATGGCTGCATCTTGTAGCCATTCATTGTAACAAATGATTTTGCAACAGCTTTTCTCAGAATGAGAAAGTTCTCTTTGGAAACTGGCAGTTCCTCTTAAGGTAAGTTTACTGGCCCAGCAGTTGTGTTTGAACGTGGCCTGAACTTACTAGGCAATACTCCAAGTTAAAATACTGGTTTTGCTGAATCTTAACTCTGTAGGTTTAATTCTGTCAATATAGTAGAATATCTATGATTAGAAATAACATTACAATGACTTAAGTTTAAAATGATCTTTTGAGAGGTAAAATGAGGCAAAGAGGCCGTGTGACTAGAGAAGCGGTCTTGTTAGTCTTCCAAAATAGAACAAAAACTGGCATGTGGGTGAACTGTGAATCATTTTCTTTTTTTTAGCTCTTCTCAGTTTAAGGGCAAGTAACATCACTTCTCACAATTTTCTTATTTTCTAACACCTCATCAAAATAACCTTTTACTGCTTACATGTACATTGCCATTATTTCTCATTGTTCCACCTTGTTCTATCCAAATATTTCCGTTGTATTCAAAGGTGTGACCATCAAAGTACTGTTTTGCAGGAACACTTTCTAGGAGGCATGTTTCTTTTGTGATTGACACAAGAATAGATAACAAGAAATCCATAGTCAATTCTTGTGTAACTTTCCACATGTCACTTCTTTCAATTTTTCTGTTCCTCAGTTTTGCCATTTATAAAATTGACTTTCGACTCAGTGTTTGTCTTTTTCACGTGCTTGCATAACGAAAGCGTGATGTCTGTGCCATAGATGTAGTTTAGTCAGTCTGTTGAATAGACCAGATTTTTTTTTTATTTTATTTTTAATTTAGGACTTTAATAGTTTCATTTAGGACCTCAGAGTGTTGTCATGGCAATTAAATACTGCCTTCTATTTTTCACATGTAGACTAAGCACATTCAGTATGATTATCAGAAGTAATGGAATAAATGTAATGGAATAAATGCAAGTCCTTCACTGGGGGAGCCTTTATAGAAAAGTTTGTAAAGACATACCAGCTGTAGCATAGGTAACTGGGTGTAAGTATGTGACAGCTGTAAGAAGTATTTTGATGAATCTGAGTGTTAGAAATAATTACGAGAGTAATTACCCTTATCTCTGCTTCTGGCCTGAGGAAATGAGTTGAGTTTTTGACAGGGCTGCTGTAATAAAAGCAGGGGTAGATATCTGGGTTTATTGGTTTAACTGTGCTTTGTTTGGCCAGTCACACAAAGGAGGGGAAAAGTTGAAAGGTTCTTGCTTATTCATTATTGTACTTCCTTTTGTATTTATTCATATTAGTGTTTCATGAAGAAACTGAAAGGGATTGAAATGGTAAATGCTGAATCTTAATTCAGTAATGGAGAAGTTGAACATTAAGCATATACCTAAGTACATTATTTGAATTATGCTTTACAGATTCCTTTCTGAAGCTGATCGTAATCTTCTCTAAGGCATGGGTACATCACAAGCTGCTCAAGTGCAAATCTGACTGCCCAGATTTAGTGTTGGGTAAGAATCTAGCTTTTTTTCTGTGACAGATTTTAGTGTGCCCTTCTCTCATCAGCCAAGAAGGATGAGCTTTATATATATTTTCATTTCATTGCAAAGATCACAACGATGCATTAGAGTTTTTGAAGTATTATGTGAGCATAAGAAAGGGAGATACAAGCATAAAGAAGGCCCTAAAATGACAAGAACGCCTTCAGTGCTTGAGTTGACTAAATTGTAGGTTGTACACAGGCTGCTTCCACTTGGGAAGTGTGGGAGGGCATAAATAAATAAATACAAATATAAGGAAACATTCCAGAAAGCATAAATTGTGTGATAATGTTTACCTTTTCCCACCAGGTGTAGGATCCTGACCCATATTTATGCACCCATATTTAAATACTGAAGGATTTTCCAACATACAAAACAGTTTGTAGCTTTTGTTCCATATCTATGAGAGAAATACCTTTAAAATAGCAGTAGATAGTGCATGCCATTTGGATATGCTCTTATGTATAAGGTTTGGGACGGAGTTTTCAAAGAGGCTCAGTACTGGACTAACTCTTCGATCAAGAGGCAGTCCAAACCTGGCTTTGATGTTAATGAAAGGGAAGAGTTGCATCATGCAGACTAAAAACTGAATATTGCACCAGCAAGGCGTTTTCACAGTCCGTGTGTTTGCCTCCCTCTTCTAATAGACAAACTCAGCTCATTATCATTCTGCTGACTTTTTCCACCTACCAATAAACCCACACCTATGAATGCTTGGCAGCCACTCTGCATTTTTAAAATCCTATCCTGTGTACTTAGACTCAATATTTCTGTTTGGTTTTATTGTTTTGTTGTTGTTTGGTTGGTTGGTTTGTTTGTTTTAAATCTATTTAAATACAGAATCACACATATTGCCTCCAAAATGTGTCCAATGAACAAACTGTTAGCTTTCATGTATGTGTATCAATGCAGGATTGGGACTGATTCTGCTGGCACCAGCAGAATACTCATGAAAATACAACACGAGAAGACATTCCAGAAAACATGTCAACTAGTATGTCAGCCCATTTCTATTAGCAATGTAGGGGTAAAGCACACTGACCCACTGAGAGCACTGTGGACCCATTATCTTGGGGGCCATATATATCTCAGAACCCACCTGAAACTTATTGTCTTTCTGAGATGTTCAGCCATGCTATTGCACTTTTTTACTGCTGGGGAACTACAGCATGGATGCTTGTATCAAGTCACACAGGACACCAGTCACAAAGCAGAGAACTGACTCTGTATCGTACAAACTCCAGCTTGTACATCAAAGATCCTGTCAGTTATGAATTTTAGTCAGGCATGACGAAAGCATCCCAGTGATCCTGCTTTGCAATTAGAATGGCAGGATTCTTGCAGACTTTCTCATCTCTGACTAAGAAAAGCTGCATATTGCTCAGTAAATCTGAGCTCTTAGAAGTTAAAGCTAAGATTTTCTTCTTGCTGCGTGTCTGACCACACAGGAACAGGTCAATTCAATAAACTTACTAGGAAAGTCAGAAAACCTGCTGTGATTCTACCTTGTACTGCAGTCCCATATATGGGTCACGTTAGGTCTGTTTCAATTTAAGAACTGCAGACTTCAAGGTAAGAGAGAGCAGCAGAGAGCTTTTTGAATTGATCAGGAGAGTGAAATCTTCTTTCCACAATTCTGAATCAAAATTTTGGTCCATTGTACTCTTAAAGATGTAACTTTCTGATGAGACGACATAGTTGTACAGTGGAGGGCCTGTCCATAGGTAGCTATCATAAATGTTCAAGATTTATTGAAATAATAATATTTTGTTGTTTTGGCAAAATGGCTTTCTAAGCGTATACTTTGTACCTATGGTAGTCCATTCATGCCATATTGAAAGTAAAATAGATATCTTTTCTCTATTTAAATACATTGCTTTGCACTATTTAATACCTGTTGGGCTTCATTCAAATATTGGACACCTATTCATGAAGTGTAAAAATAGATGACTGTCACACATTTACATTGTTTTTAGCCTAAGTGAGAGAATCATGCTAGCAGTTTGCATCTGAAACATTCCATATCCAGTATCCAAATCCCAAAAAACTCCACTTTTCAGAAAACGTTCTTTAAAATACTTGGGTCAGTACCATTGCTTGTGGGAGGGGAGAGGTGTCTAACTAGTGTCACAGCAGCAACCACAAAAATGTAATTTGTTTCAGCTTTGTAAGAAACTTCTGCATTGCCCCAAGGAAACATGCAAAGCCAAGTACAATCCTTCCAGTATAATCATAATATATGATTAGCCATTATGATCCCCTGTCATTTTACTTCAGGAGAATTATGGCTCTTGCACTGAGGATGTAAGACTACAGATGGAGGACTGCCTGCTGCAAATCTCTTGTAAGGCTGCTGCAGTAAATCTCTTGGAGAGAAGTCATTGCCAAAAATCACTATGCTAAAGGAACCTGGCATTTGTTTTCTTAAGGAAGATGGGAGAGGGGCCTTGGAGGGAGGTACTGTTCCTTTCTACACTCCTTAATGTTATGCAAGGAAGCATTCATCAAGGAAGATTCAGCTTTTTCTCAGAGTAAGACGAGACAATGGCAATATTCAACATGTCAGGTTGCTCTGGCTTTCTGTATAGGATTTTGTATGCAAGAAAGGAAGATTAAAGACATCACTCTCCAGAGGCTGACTTAGGCTGTTTTGTATTTTATAGCTTAGTTACAATAATGGCCAACTAGAGATTGCTAGATTGACATAGGTCTGGGCCATTGGCTGTGGAGAACATCTACAGTGAGCTCAAAATTGGCATTCAACTCAGGTGCAGGCTTAAGGCAAATAGTGCTTTATCGTGAACACAACCCCTAATTCATATGCTCTGTGTAGCTGAATAGTCACCAGTGGAACTCCAAATATTGATGGGTATCCTGTGCATGAGTTCTTAAAAGTACTCTTTTGAAACTTTGAGGGTGAGTTAAACCAGCAACATGGATAGAGAGATAGCACTGTCACCGGGCCTAGCATAATTCAGCTTCATACTGCAGCTGGCAGTACACATACAACCAGTGCAGCCAGCAGTGAGGGCTAACAGGAGAAGATATGAGTGACTTCACATTGAGTTTCACTGGATGTGGTGGGCTTTAAATGTCCCAGCCTCACTGTTCGCTTGTTCTTTGAGTCACTCATGTTCATCTTTAAAAGGAGGTATTAAAAATTTGAAAAGCAATTTCATTCTATGCAATGCCCACCACTCCACTTGCAAAAATAAGTGCACGTACACATGTATATAAACAGGCCTCAAGATTTATTTGAAATTGATCTCAATTTGCATGTTTCTCATATAGTCATGTTTAACTTCAAACTTACAGTAAGTGCTTTGTTTAGTGAAAGCCTGTCAGTGACAGCAAGAACATTTGAAAATCTGGTGCTATGTTACTTTTTCTGGCTTGCAGAAAAGATGGAGACTTTCAGAAGTTCTGTGCACTCCTCAGTTCCTGCTGGATGGTGCTGTGGGCAATGCATGTGCTTCAGAAGATGCAGATTGCATCTGCTCAGCAGTACCAGATACCAGGATGCCTGTGACTCTTGGACCAGCCTTGTGCTGGCTAGCACAGACTCAGGCTAACAACTATGAGGTCTAAGGCCACAAAAAGCTTGGGTGGAGACAAAAGTAACCCTTGCACATCTGCAACATTCACTGTGGTATGAGCATCAAAGGAAAAACATTGGCTGACAGTACTCTTGAGAAGAGCAAGTCATACTGATTTCTTCAAGCGTTTTTTCTTGTTAGCACTGTCTTTGATTACCAGGTCTTTGACTACCTAGAGGCTATGGCTCACTTGCAGAATTTGCAGAGATAAAGTTGCTTCTGATTGATCATCCAAACTCAGAAGTATTTACACTAACACGATCAGTCAGTGGTTTTTTTAGGTTTGTTTTGTTCTGGCTACATCTGTTTCTTTCGGCAAAGTACTCCCCTGAATACTAGAATAATATTCACCTAGTGAGTTGGTTTACAATGTGTAAAAAGCCAGGATTTGTCTGTGGGAATTTTGTTTCTCTGCTTTTCCCGTAGCCATTAATTTAACAGTACTGTAGAATGTTCTGGTTGCTCTTTGCTCCTTCCTGTCACCATTCTAACTCCAGCCTCTAATCACTTGCATCAGTTTTTCCTCCTATTAATTCTTCTGTCAACAGTTCCCAGGTAGGAGAATACTTTCAAAATAAAAGCAGAAACAGTTTGCCTGCAGATAATAGGCTGACATGCCAAGCATGTTGCTTCACTGGAAGATACCTCACCGTTGAGCAGGTATCACTGAGGAAAAGCCCTTTTGCTGTGATATCCTCACAGTTGTGGCAGACAAGCAGAAGTGTTTAACTTCTGTTGCAGGACTAATGAGTATACATGAATAATGAGCATGTGATTAATGACACAAAACTGAGATATTGGGGTGAAGACATTCTGGCAGCAGACCAAGGCCAGGGGGGAAGGTGGGATGAGTAGTAATAATTGACTGAAGAGGTTTTCTTTATTCCACTACTGTCCCTGTTACCTTGCTGATTAGATTCCAGAAACGTGACCAAGGCAGGTAGCTAGGCATTGGCCACAGATCCTCCAACAGATCTTGGGTACAAACAGTGCAGCTTTATTGTCTTCCATAGCACAAAAAAAAAAACAAAACAGGGCAGGATGTGTCGTCTGGTAGGGATTCTCTTGTAGCAATTTCTGGTAGGAAGGATTGGGGAAGAGTGAAAAGTGTATCTCTTTGGAATTTGAAAGTCTTAGCGAGACAGTTTTCAAGCTGAAAGATGGAAAAAATTTAAATAAGGAAGAAGAGGTGGGGAGTTAACAGTGCTGTGGGAATGTTGTATACTTTTAAGAGGTGAAGTCTGTCCACCAAGCCTGTCTAAGGTCAATGCTTGTGATAGCTCATTGCCAGTAAGCCTCTTGCAAGTTTTGTAAGTAGGTGAGGAAACTTTTCCCTTCTTGCTTCAGATCATTATGTAGGGCCCAGAGCACATCCACCTTCTAGGAGTTTAGCTGGCTAAGTTTAGGAGTCTGTGCTCCTTCACCACTAAGAGCTGTTGTAGAGAAGAGGACCTGCCCTTTCCCTCCCTTGAGAGCTGACCTTATGTTGAGGTTTTACTGCTGTGCCATGTCACAGCTGTGTAAGCAGGTGTGTCTTCACCTCAACCCAGACCCACTGGTTGGGCTGCCTGGCTTGATATCAGACTGCTTTGCCTCTGGTCTGTCTGACACACATCACTGTCTCTGTCCCTGATCCTGACCCACACATGCCGTTCTGCATTTCAGCACCTTGTTGCTGAGGTCATGGCTCACAGAAGCCGTAACAGGACTCCCAGCTACAAGCTCACATCCCAGTGGAGCAGCTGCCCACCTCACTGCTTCCTAATACACTGTGCATTTGAGATATTGAGAGTGTGGCAAATCTGTGTTTGCACAATAGGAGCAAGTAATGAATGAAAGCAGTGAAAGACAGCGCGTAGATAGAGAAAACATAGTTTCTTTGACTCTCAGACAAGTTACATTAGACATTGGACTTTACACAATAAAACCTCCTTATCAGTGGTAAATGGTGACCATCCCACAAAACCAGATTTCAGTAGGTGTTTGTTCTGCAGTATGAAAAAAAGGATTCAACACCACATTTTTTCTTTTTTAAAAGTAAAACTGCTTTTTGAGTTGATGAGCTAATTACACAGATACTGGAGATGCTGTTCTAAGTATTGTGCTGCTATTCTCATTTTTCAAATTAATGACTCACTCCTTGAACAGCTGATTGTGTTTGGGTTAATGACCAAGGGCAGACTCTTACTGTAGATCAGACATACTTCAGGTATCAAAATTAATTTCTGACACATTTATGCATTGCTACAAGATGTTTCAGTTTCAAAGAATTTGCAGTTTTCACTGGTAAACTGCTTAGTCAAACTATTTCTTAAAACAAGGGAACTGAATTTTAATAAAAGTGATGGTAAGTAAAAGTCTCAAAGACTCAAAGTTATGATCAAGAGACCTGCCCTCGATTTCCACTTTTATTTCATCATGTTTGCCAAACAGCTTAACCTCAGAGACTTCCCTAGAATAAATGTCATCCTACTGCGAAGCTTTTCTCTGATCAGAGCCACCAATTCTACATTATCTCCAAAGTATTCTACTGCTTAGCGCTGGTGGCTGGGTATGAGAAGAAGGGACTTCTTCCACCCCTCTGAGTGGATCTACCTTTTTCAATGGGGGAGGCTACTCTGTGAAGGAGTTGGAAGAGCTGACTGCACTTGGCCCTTCTTCAGAACAACTCTTCTGTGGTAATGGATTGCCCATGGAGTATTTTGCTGTTACATTTCTACAACTCCTCAGGCTTGGAGAAATAAATAACGTCCACCTGAGCTACTGAGTTTGCAGGAGGGACCACGTTTATTTTATAGTGCTGATCCATTCTGTTGTGAGGAGGGTTGGTTCTGTGAGTCATCATGGAAGTTGCTAAGCTGCTGTCAAACTGTGTGTGTGATAGGCAGTGAGCTACCTTCTCTCCAAGTAGTGAGGATTGTGGCTTCTACTGTTCTTGTGGGTTGTTTTTTTTTTCCTGGGTCTGTCTGAAAGCCCCTTGCAGCAGTTGTTCCTCTCTCTAAGTTTCTAAGGGCATGAAGTATCACTCACTTGTTTGTTAGGGTAGTACTTTTGTATTGTCACCTTTTCAGTGATATGTTATGCAAAGCTGTCTATGACCCCTGCAAAGGAGTATTTTGGCCCCTTTCTGTCTGCCTAAAAAAAAAAAAAAAAAGTGAATTCTAGGAGGAAATAATTTTTTTTTCTCCATGTCAGTGTCAGTCTGTGCTAGCATGCTTCACTGCTATGGAGTAAGAAAGTTGTACCCAGTCCTGAGCTGTGGCCCAGTGATTCTTCTGACATGAAGAACTACAGAAGCTTTAACTGTGGTATTGAGGCACTGTGAGCATCAAGCTATCTATGTACAAGACTTTTCACTGCATTCTTTCTAGAGGTGCCTGTGCTTTGGGTCACATCTATTTAAAATGATCAATGACCACCACCACCATGCACACACATGGGAGATCTAGTTTCACCTCTGAAAATCAGATCTCTTAATGGCACCTCAGGATGGAGAATCAAACTCATGAGTCATTTAGGGATCAACTGCAGTATAGATGTAGGAATATTCATCCAGTCTAACTGTAGAATTTTTGATCCTTCAATTGGACATGTAGGGCAGTACGGTTCTAAAAACCAAAGCTGCGTATGCATTCATATCGGGAAACAGTAGAGACATATAGTAGGACATCTTACCCAAGTTGAACCTTTTAAATAGACCACTTAAGAGATCTCTGTGTGCACCATTCAGTTCTTTAGAAGGTAAAGCATTTTCTGGATCTCCCTTTTACTCAGGGAGAAAATTTCCACTTTTCCCCCATTGTTTTCTGAATCCAGTTTGTTATTGAAACAAACACTGCCTTAGTGATTCTGCTTTCAAATAGTAGCTAGAATTTCCTATTCCCTGAACAAAATAGAACAGGCAGAGAAACCAGATGGAGCTGGAGGGTAAAATATGTATACAGTGGAACAAGAATCTGGCATCCTACCCTCTCCTACCAGAATCTCACTGTATTTAGTTGTTCTAATACATGTTTTAATCACGAAGAATGTAGCAGTTTTATTTTGTCTAACAGTATGGAGAAGAAAAATAGTGAAGTGGCTGTTGATTTACATATATATTTTACAGTATGGCTGTGATAATCCCAGGTGCCTTTGACTCCATGTAGTGAATACATGCTGTACAAAAGGAAGGAATGCCTTCCAAAGATTTTAGGAATAGCTGCATGACATAAAGTCTGTCACTCCTCAGAGAGTGTAAATACTTACTGTTTTACTTTACTTCTTTTTCCAGCTCACAGTTGAAGAAGCTCTGCTTAAATGCTATAGCTTCAACCAGGAAACTAGCCAACACTAAATGTATACTGAAGTGCAATAGAAATGCCTTCCTGAATAGCTACCTTTATTTTCCTGGACAAGGCTGGATAGCTGTATGAGATACGGGATTATGAAGACAGTGGACTGGACTCTCCTCTCACCTTGTTTAGTTCCATGGATTCTAATTAAATTTTCTGAGTTACAAATGTGTAAGAAGGAACAAACCAGCTGCCTGAAACCCAAGCCCTGTAGCTAGCTTTACTTCCAGTAGCCAGTTTTTATAGCAGCGTTACTAAGGATGTAAAAGAGATGCACAACTACCTACGGACAAAGGATTTTCAAATCATCACAGCAAGGAAGTTGGAGATAGCAAGCCTGGATTCTATTTGCAGCTCTGGCCTTGCCAGGTTTTTAATCATTAATTGCAGACTTTATTAATTAGTAATGCAGGCCTGTAAGCAGCTTAGCTTTTTGCATCTTTAGTCTTTCAACTGTAATTTTCTATCTCTTTGCCATCCCCTTTGCAAAAGTTTGAGTGTTTTGCTATAGGTAACCACTGAGAAATGCATCAGGTAGCAACAAGTTTAGACCTGTATAGCCCAGGAATGCTTCCAAGGCAGATGCGTAGAAGGCAGTTGTTTTAACACACATGATTTTGCTCTGAAAACACATTTCTGAACATCATGTTATTTGTTTCCCCCCAAAACAGCAGGCATAGCAACCTTTCCACCTAAATGCTTTATCTCCTCTTAGAACCTGTGCAAATGGCACAAGACAATGAAAAAATAAGGTCATAGGTTCCTGGGCAGAAAAGAGCACATACATTTCCACTGAATGCAGGTGATGTCTTTTTCATGCATAGCTCAGGTTAGAGGGCTCCATCTGTCATTTAGGAAATTGCATTGAATCACTCGTTGAATGCTGGAGATTTGGGGTCCAAATCAGGCTCACTGTCCAGTAAGCCAAAGGACTGGGAAAGAACCTCAGTGTCTGCCGCCTTCACCTCTCCCAGTGTTGTGCTTCTGTGCAGACAATAGCTGAACCTATTTACTGAGCTCCCTAAAGACAAGTTCTAGTGTCGTGAGCAGTTCCAGTGTGTGCTGGTTAACTTGGAGACAGGGGTCCTGCATAATAGCTTGGTCATCCGTTTCATGCAGTGCTAAGCAGCAGACACTCACTACATTTTACGCTGTGAGCATGGAGTCAGACTGCCTGGGTGAACTGCAGGCACCCATGATGTTACGGCAGTGCCCATCCGCTAGCTTATATCACAGTCACAGCTGTCTGTGCCGATCCGCCCTTGCCCCATTCATAAACTGCAGGTTAATTTTTCTTGGTCACTAGGTGGCAGAATTGGCGTTATTAAACCGTGCACGATTTTTTTCTTCAATGCTTGCAAACTACTTCAGCTCTGTCCCTGTAATTGAATTGCTAAATTCTGGTAGAGGGAGCTGTGTGAAAGGAATAAGCAGGACTGTCTCAAGGATACGATCTGTCCTGCAGCTGATGGGCCTCTTGCACTGTGCTGGATTCAAGACATGGGCAAATATGTCAAATTCTACTGTTAATGCAATCTTTCAGGCTTTGATTTGATGGTCTGGTGTCAACAGAGGTTCAACCCTGATTCTGGGAGGACTTTTCTATTTGTTTAACAATATTTGCACTTCTCATCAAGAGGAATCTGTCTCTGAGACACATCCTGTAGTGCTTTTGGCTAACAGTAGTAGAAATCTAAGCTCACATTACATCACAAGGGATCATAGGGGATATATTTTTTGAGCTAAGTTAAAGCACTTGGAAAATTCAGGTTTGGAAAGCTCTTTTATTTTAACCTCTTTCTGCCAATGTGTTTTAGATTTGTTTGAATCTTTGGGCCACACAAAATAGAAAGGACATTTAAATAATATTTTTAATTCCAAGCACCTTTCTCATAATTGGAGAATGTCCAGGAAACATGTATAACAGGAATGTGATTTTACAGAACGATCTTAAACTTACAAAATCTAGATATGCTGCAGAAAAATGTAAACATAATAATACATGAAAAAGCTCCATATCAAATCAGTTTCTAGTCTGATAAATTAATCTTGAAGTTTCTGTGTCTTCTGTGCTTGGCCATAACAAGTCTTTATTCAAAAGCAGCAGGAAATGGGGAGAACAAGATCTTCCAGGAATAAGACTGTTGTTTCCTATCCTGGTAGGTTTGGCAATACCTAGGTGGCTGAAGAATGGCATATTGAATTGCTCCGCACCAGGGCTATCGTGCAGCATAAAGAAACACTCTTGCCATCTTCCTTAATCCTGTAATTAGCATATTTTGCTGTCCATACTTTGGAGAGAATGACTCTTCAATAACTCACCCAGAAAAATGGAGGAGGAAGGAGTACGACTTGCCCATTCAATTAAGTTTCTGGCTGTCCACAAGGAATGGTATTTCAGTATATGAATTGATGAAGGAACATCTGTCTCTCCTTGCATTTCATTCCAAATACGCAGTTGTCAAACTAGTAGCAGCATTTGAGGAGATCTTGCTAGTATGAAAACCCTTTTCAAGTGTTCACGAAGGTTGAGTGAGATTTCAAGATTTTGAACCAAATACTTTGGACCTTGGGAGAAATTCAGCTGCAATAAAAAGTTATGGCCTTACCTAGCTCCCGTTTTGCATTTCACAGGCTTCAAAATCTTCTGAACTGTGTTACCGGATCTCAGTGTCTTCAGGCATGAAACCCAATTCCAACTCTATGCCTTCAGCCCACTGGGAATTATTCTGCATGCACAATTCAATACTCTTAACCTTCACTAGCCGTATTCCCCCTGGCTAGAAGTATTGAAGGCTCTGAAGGAAATTGTTTTGCTGTGGCGATTCAACTAATTTTATGTTTTCTTTTTGCTTCCTTTGGGTCTTGATACTCAAATGTGTTGTTGCTATTCTACTCTAGTGAGGGTTTTTTTCTCATTTTTCTTAAGAAAAGGGATTTATTATACGTGAAAGTATAGTACTTAGGTACTTAATGCCTTTGTTGCCTCAGTCATTAACAGTAACACCAGTTGTTGT